ATCTATACTGACTTTATCTTTTTTAGTTGCGTCTTGCTTGTATCAGTGAAGATCAATTGATCTTACCTACCGAAGAGTCTCGCTCACGTGCCTATGCAATTGCCCAATCTCCTAAGACTGTTCAGATGGGTTCATTGGGAATGTTTCCTGCTGGTACTGACACTGCCTGGAAGCCAGGAGAGCTTGAATTCGAGGCTATGATGCGCAGACTAGATGCAGCTGGTTACCGAACAGGGTACTTCTACCGATTAACCCAGTTGCGACATGCTATCGCCGGTGGCACATCTACAATGACTCCCCGTGAAGCTGCCGCTCATACACGTCGGTCAGCAAGTCTAGGCCGCGGTATCCGTGCTCCTCGTGATGATGTTGAAATACCTCCTGCAGCTTCATCATTTGCCACTTCTTTCTATGAAGATGAAGAAACTAGGTATTTCTGAATTTGCGTCGAAAGACTTTATTATTTTAAATCTTGATTTATTAGTCTCTATTGTATTCTAGGGCAGCAGCAGCAATTTCTGCAAAAGCGAAAACACTGTCCTTACAGCGCACACATTGGTGCAACACTCCAAATCAATACACCAAGAAGGGCATGACATCACCTGGCATGCTTTCTCCCGCGTATGGGGGAGTATCATTTACCCAATGGGAGCCGCTGGGTGGCAGTCCTATAGGCGCTTCTCAGCCACCAGAATTGTTCAAGAGGAAATCGGACAGTCTCCGAATTATGGGTAAAGAACGAGCCACTCTTACAACGCTAGGCGGAGGCACAAGTGCTGGTATCGCTCTTCCGATTCTTGATCGCAATCAATTTGCTCCTCAAGGGGAGAATCCCAGAGAACTTAAAGAGCAGCAGAAAAGAGTAAATAAGCAAACAAATATATGTGATTTCATACTTTTCATTTTATATGAAGATGCTAGTGCAAGGGGCTTGATGATTGGCCTCACCAGAAGCCGAGAAATGCTTTCCTTGGGGTTATAACTGTAGATTTATGCTAATTAATCCTAGATGCGTCGTCCCGCTACCCCAATGAGTCCATGTTAAATTCCACTATGTCATTTAACAGACGAGCATAGTGAGTTTTCGTATAGCATGGTGTCCTCTGACTGTCTATCACATAAAAAGCGAAATCTCAACACGGATTCATTGGAGTCACGGAACTATACATCTAGGACTAGCGCAAACTAGGCAACTATAATGTAATCCGCCGACTTCTGATGAGGGCATTTACTGATACCTTTCGTCTCAAGACGAATCAAAATTGTATCAATATCAACCTATTACGAAATTTAAAAGCCCGATTTTACTTAGTCCTACGAAATATGTAATTTTTTCCCATTTTTATTCGGCAATCCATTCCATTATCTCTAGATCTAGATTTAAAATTCTCCACCAGATTTATCAGATATCTTATTA